AATTATACATGCATGTCATATTTATAGCATGTTCCTATATTTCAAGTTGAATCTTGCATAATTGGCAACTATTGGGCTATGATTTCTTGAAATGATTTTTAATTCATGATGTTTTATGAATTCCTAAGTGTTTTCTCAAGTTTTAGCCTAGAAAAATCAAGCTTTGATGCTTGAAAGTTGAATTTTGAGCTGGTAGAACAAATTTGGAAATTTTAGAATTTGCATCTACGCTCAAACGTAAGAGTTCACGCTCGAGCGACCACTCTGAGTGCGTGTACTTCCGCTCGAGCGACCTGAAGCCCGCTCAAGCGTGAATTGCATGTTTCCAGAAGTTCATATGTTTTGCAGCACGCTTGAGCGACAAAAGTCACGCTCGAGCGAGGATCTGAGTCTCACGCTCGAGCGTCCTTCGAGCGTGAAAAACAAGCAACCAGTACTTTTTCAAAGTTTTCAGACCGCTCGAGCGAACCCTTGTATTCTGCAGTCCGCTCGAGCGAGGAAAGCCACGCTCGAGCGTGGACCCTGTTTTCAGCAAGTTTTGAAAAATAATTTCAAGTGCATTTTTGCATCCTGATTTCATCATAGGCATTTCTAGGCCATGATTAAGACACCATAACGAGAATAATGAGGTAGAAACACACCAAAACAAGAAAGGACTAAGTTATCATTTTCGGGTGTGTAATTCAGTATACATTCGTTCTGTAATTGTGTAAATCATGCACCTTAAGGAAGTTGAATTGTCCACTTGCAACAGTTGTTATCAATGAGTAATAACTTAGTAAAGCTATGTTCAACTTTATATATTTTCTGTATACGAAATAAGATCTACTGAAAGAAATGCCATGCTTTATACTATGAATGATTGTCCAACAATAACAAACATTGATGATATTATGCCATGATTCAAATATGTTACAAGTGATATTATGCCATGATTCAAGTATGTTACAAGTGATATTATGTTATGATTCAAGTATACTACAAGTTCCTGGTACCGGAGGTTCCTTATGGAACTAACAAGTTATCTATACCCGACTGGAGGTTCCTAAGTGGAACTAACAAGTTTACAAGTTTCCAGTCCGAAGGTTCCTTTATGAGACTGACAAGTTATCCTTACCCGGCCGGAGGTTCTTCTATAGAACTGACAAGTATGATTTAAGCCACTCTGTATGAGATTTATCAGCACTAACGGATGTAATACATAAGATTAAGCATGAACTCTGATTTTTGTATACATGCTCAGAATGAGAATACGAATGTGAATTTCAGTTTCAGCCACAGTTATGGGACATCATTCATTTACCCATTTACTTTGTTATTATTCACTGGGCCTCCGCTCACTAGTTATTTATTATGTATGTAGGTGAGCAGGCTCGTGATCAGGCTTAAGATAATGCCTGGAGTATTTTTATGTTAGTCAACCACCTTTTGCGCCTCACGAGGAGGTTCCAGATCAAGTCATGTTTTTGTGGCTGTGTCAATATGAATGTATAAGACTGTTTTTTTTTTGTTTTTTGAACAAGTTCTCCTTTTATATGTACTTGAAAGTGACGTGTAAATACTGTACCTATGACGTCACTCGTATGTTTATAAAGTTTAAGATTTTCAGTTCTATGTATGTCTGCACAGCTTAATGGACTATGTATATTTCTTTATGTAATTACTTCCGCAGCCCCTAATCTCAAGTCAAGTCTTAAGAGGCCTTTGGTAATCCAAGGATTACTGGCCGGTTACGATGCTAAACCTATAGGGGTGGGTTTGGGTCGTGACACTCCGATCTTGCGAACGTGACAATCCTTAGTGCTATGTCCATCTTTGCCGCACACAAAACATTTGCTTTTGAACCTCTTGTTGAACCCGTTGTTGATCCCTTTGTTGACCTTATTAGTGGATCCTTGTTTAGGACCATTGCCATCATACTTCCGCTTTTTGTTGTTGAACTTTGACCTTTGTTTATGTTCCACAACATTTGCTTTAGCCTGCATGGCATGGTTTCCTGATTTCTTGTCGGAACCACGGTTGTCCTCCTCAATCCTGAGCCGCACTATTAGTTCCTCCAATTTCATCTTCTTGTGTTTATGCTTCAGTTAATTCTTGAATTCTTTCCAAGATGGTGGCAATTGTTCAATGATTGCCACTACTTGGAAAGATTCACTGAGAATCATCCCCTTCCGCATGTATGTCATGGAGAATTAATTGGAGATCTTGAACCTGACTAATAACCGTTTTGGAATCCATCATTTTAAAATTTAGAAAACGATCGACAACAAATTTCTTTGTACTGACATCCTCTGTCTTATATTTATGATTCAGAGATTCTCACAGTTCTTTAGTAATACTTTTGACACTATACACATTGTACAGTGTATTGCCCAACCCATTGAGGATATAATTTCGACACAGAAAATCACCATGTTTCCATACATCGACTGCGGTAACCACTTGTTGGTCAGTTTCTCCTTCGTTCAGTGCCACAGCTTTTTCATAAGTGAAGCGAGCCAAATTCAATGTGGTAAGATAAAACATCATCTTTTAAAATCATTTCCATTGAATTTTTCTGGCTTCTCCCCATAATTTACCGGTACTGCCGGCGTCATCGTCATCACTAGCACAACAGGTGTGGGGGTCGGAGTAATAACAGTCTCAATGCTATTTATTTCAGTTGTCATAATTTTGATAACATAATAATACACCAATTACAAATTTATACAAAAAAGAATTTAGACACAAAATAAGCAGAATAATATTTTGTAACAAAATTCTAATGATAAACAGTGTATTACTACTATGTTATTAAAGAAATCATTAAATAGTATATTACTACTATTTAATTTCCCGAAACAAAATATTCATCAATCTAACACAGAAATAAAAATTCAAGAAATCTACTTTAAAATTGTTATATCCACAGTGGTGTGTATGTGTCAATTAAATGTATAAATTAAATAAACAACAAAATAAAATAATTTAGAAAATAATTATATAAATTAAATTCCAAATTAAATGCTTACAGAAATTAAAGTCGATGCTTGTGTTGGACACAATTTCCTTAAAGTAGATTTCGCCCTCGCTCCGGTGCTTCGAGTTTTAACCGGCATCTACTTCCCAGGATGCAACGACTAACACTTGAATTTGTAGCACTACGAAATCAAATCTGGCAAACCAAAACTTTACCGAACCTTTCTCTTTCTTTTTCCTAAAATTAAATGCAGAATAAATGCAGAAAAGAAGAAGACAAAAAGGGAAAAAGAGAGATGAATAAAATTGCTGGAAGGCTTGGCCTTTTATAGGAGAAATAGTAGGTTTTCCGAACAGATGCCAACATATATGCACCTGTTCGGACAGATTTAATAAGCAAAAACCTGTTTGGATAGATATAGATCTGTCCGGGAAAGAATTCAACAGGTATGAACCTGTTCGGGTGGGTTAAGATTTGCTTGGGTGAAGGAAAAATCTGGAGCCAAAATAAAAAATAATTAAATAAATCACAAATGTTTTTAGCCCAAAAAGATAAGTAATGGACCGAACAAGCCTAACCCAACCTCACACCATGCACCTGTGCCCTGCCCGGACGGACAGCGAGGCGCGTGTGGTTTTTGTTTTGGATCCAATGAGTCTAGCCTACTTTACCCATAACTTTACCTTCCACAAACTTGGATACCCTTTAGAGCCCATCCCAAGTATCCCAAGTTAAGGTATATAAACATATTTAAAACCATACGCCTTTCTAATATGGGACAAGTACATTTCACAAATGTATAGAAAATCTACCTAAATCCATTTCCACGAACTCAAAAATGCGCGTTGAATTCACATTTATCCGGAAATGATTTTGAGCAACTAAATATACGGTTTTATTCACTACGTGACATTAAACATGAATCTAATGAAAAACGTTAAAAATAACGCTTGGGTCCCACCTTAATTAATGCTCAAAGTTAGCAAAAAATAAAGTTTTTCCAAAGCCTCCAAAGACATTTTCCAACACATGTATTAGTCCATTTATTTGGAGATAATATTTAAAAAATTAATGAAAATAAATGATACTTTTCATATACTTTGAAGATACAAAATATTGAAAAACAATCATCCCTACTAGACTCTTAATCAAGTTTTCAGAAAGCAACAAAGGCCTCTTTTGAGAAGTCAGCCAGAAATCAGTTTTTAAATTATTTTGAGTTATATTATTTCTTACATATTTTTTAAAAAAGTCAAAACATTAGCTTTTAATTATCTCTTCAAAACATCTTGATATACGGATATTAATTTTTTTAAAGATTATAATTTTTTTGAGTAAATTATACTTTTAATCCTTCTAGTTTGTTTAAAATTTAGTTTGATTTTTATTATTTTAAATTAAATAATTTGAGATTAAATTTGGTTATTCCATCCGATTGAAGGTTAAAATTGATAATTTTAAAACATTTGTTAGTCTTTAAAAATATACACATAAAGAAACTTAAAATAAAATAACCAAATTAAAACTGAAATTAAAGAGTAAGGATTAAATTATTTAAATTAAAATAATAAGAATCAAAATCACATTTAAAGGATTAAATTATTTAAATTAAAATAATAAGAATCAAAATCAAATTTAAGTTAAATCACAATGGTGAGAAGTATAAAAAAATAAAATTTAGGGTAAACTACCAATAGGTCCTAATAATTAAATTTAATTCCCATCAAGTTCTATTGAAAATAAGTCTTAGCAAATTTGTTGCTGAAAATAAATTTTTTGTGATAATTTTTTATATATGTCGCTAAAAATTGACAATTAGTGACTTTTTTTTATTATGATTTTTATAAATTATCACTAAAATTTAAATTAGTGACGTTTTTTATGACAAATTTTTCTTATAAGACTTATTAGACTAATAAGACACCCTATAATTTGTACTTATTATTAAATTTTTTTTAATTATGCTCAATATTAAACGGGTCGAAAATCGTCGGGTCGGATATACCGGATTACATACATATATACAGTCTGTGTGTCAGTTCTGTGCCCATATGAAACAGAAGAAGATGGCAACCCATTTTGCTTCTTCATCCTCAATGTCGTCCCCTTCACTTTTGAGGTACCGATCAACAAATTCTATGGCAATGTTAGGGTTTATCTCTCATTACCCCAAAACCAATCTGGGTCCCTCTCTCCGGGAAGTCAAAACGAGCTTCAGCTCTAGCTTTCTCTCTCTTTCCACCGCAAGAAAACAGCAGAGAAAGTCATTTCTAGGTGAAATCTTCAGTACCCATGTTTTTTTCCCCCCCAATTCCACTATATGTTTGGTTTGTTGCCAATTTTCATCCTCTACTTAGATTTACTGTGAATTTCATTGCACTGATAATTATAGGGTTAATTGTACTAAGACCCCTCAACTATTAGTGAATATCATTTTACCCCTCATCTATGACCCTGTACATATTGACCCCTCAACTATGAAAATGGTATAAATACACCCCTTTTGAGGTCATCTAGAAGGGGTCTGCAGGGCGAAAGTGATACATTTTTTTCTAGTTGAGGGGGTCTTGATCTAAATAACCCTTATGAGTAATTCAGTTAATTGGTTCAACTTTTGAACTAACAATAATTTTTCTTCATGTTTGATAGTACAATTAGAGAATTTATGGGTATGTTTATGTGTCATAGTTTCAATTAAAAAATATCTTTATTAATTGATAATTTTGTTTTCTTAACTGATTTCATTAGGTAGAATAGAGAGATTATTGAGGACATACAAGTGGAATGAAGGAGAAACTAGTAATGGAAAGGAAGAAAGCAAAAAGATTGTGCATAGTGAAGAGAGAATCTTAAAATTTTCTAAGTGAGGTTATTAGATGAAATTTTTTTTATTGAATTTTAGTTGTTTATTTTCCTTTCCATCCAATCAGAAAATCATTTTTTCATTTGAGAAAATTTTAAGATTGGGATAGATACGAGTAGCAAATGGGTATGAGGGTGCTGCGACAGCAATTTGGGGGTAGATTTTATGCCCCAACTTTTCTGGCTTCCAGAAATAATTTTGAGGTTTAGGGCTAGGCTGTAGGATAACAATACTAGTGAATTTTGCATCTACAATAGACCAAAATTGATTTGTCGAGCAATTACTATCATTATAATTGATGAGGAAACCTCAACTTGACGTTTTGATTTGTGTCATTGCTTGATCCCTACTGGTTCATATAAGTAATTTTCCGTAAGGGGAAAGGACGATGCTTAAACTTTCATATATGCTATTTTCTGGCAGTCCGATCAGTAGCAGCTCCTTCAGATACGGCTACTGGTTTTGATGAGATGGTTTCAGGAACCACGAGGAAATATTACATGTTAGGCGGAAAGGGAGGCGTTGGAAAGACAAGTTGTGCTGCATCTCTTGCTGTAAAATTTGCTAACAATGGTCATCCAACTCTTGTTGTTTCAACCGACCCTGCTCATTCTTTGAGTGACTCTTTTGCCCAGGTTTAAGATAATTATTATTTTAGTCCCCAGTGAAGTCATCATTTATGTCGTTCAAGTGTTAATTTCCTTCAAATGTAGTTTTTTATGTTACAAATTACATTCTGGGCATGTGTGTGATTCATAGGATTTGACTGGAGGGACACTAGTACCAGTTGAAGGACCTGATTCTCCATTGTTTGCCCTTGAGGTGTGTGGGAAAGTGATTCGAGTTACTTTTTTATGGTGATAATTTATCTGTCTAGCTTAGTTAGTAACCATGAATTTTCAAATCTGTGCTTTCTTGTTATGATGAACTTGGTGCCTCGTGTTGTAAGATTAAATGTAATACTATTAACAGATAAATCCCGAGAAAGCTAGGGAAGAATTTCGCAGTGTAAACCAGAAAAACGGGGAAAGTGGAATTAAAGATTTTATGGATGGCATGGGCCTTGGAATGATTGTAGAACAGGTAAAGCTTTATTTGTATTCATAATTATTGGAACTTGAGAGCAATTATCTTTCTTAGAGTAACTTGAATTGAGAAATTAATGTCTCGACGGTCTAGATATGCAAATTCTTAATGGGCAATCAAATATGTTCCCTTTTAGTATTGTGGAGCCCTTGTAAGAACACAGCGAAATTTCTGAAAGTATTAAGGGCAAAATCGTCTTTTCACAAATTTGCTAAAGAGGCTGCTTTTTATGGAAAAGTCATCTCAAACAAGCTTATTTGCTTTTGACTTTTTTAGCCAAAAAGCTGCTTCTTTATTTCTTCCCCAGTAGATTCAGATTAATGCCTTTTAGCATTTATGTTTAATTACCTCGCTAATTTCTCATTTTCTATCTGTTTAATTACCTTCCCTAGAATACATTTCTTTTTTTCCAAAAAATATAAAAAATGTCAATTTGCTGATAGCTTTATTATAATGCTGACTCTACTTGTCTATCTTGAAACTATTTATTGAAAGTTAGGAGAACTAAAGCTAGGAGAGCTTCTAGATACACCTCCTCCTGGATTGGATGAAGCGATTGCAATTTCCAAGGCATGTGTGTTCTCTGCTCTGCTTTAATGAATTTTCTCTGTTAACATCTTCTAGGTTTTTTTTTTTTTTTTGTTTGCTGACTTTATAATCTATTATCAGGTTATACAATTCCTTGAATCAGAAGAATATAATATGTTTACTCGAATAGTTTTTGATACTGCCCCAACGGTGAGCAAAAAGTTCACATTTTAGTGTCGTTTCGTTTGTAGAGGTCATTTCTTGAACTTGATGAGTATCGTTTACAGGGTCACACGCTACGTCTTTTGTCCTTGCCAGACTTCTTGGATGCGTCTATAGGGAAGATATTGAAGGTAGAAATCTTTACACAGATTTAAGGTAGCTTATGTTTGAGATCATACGCCGTTTCAATGGGACATTGGTTAGCTTCATGTATTAAGTGAAAGAAATATGTTACAAAATAACTCTATGAACTTATGTCTATACTTCCACATATTATTGGTATCATAGGAGACATCTCTATTTTTCCTTGGGAGAATCTTTAGAATTACCACTGTTAGCTTTCAATTCGCCTCTAACCATCAAATGAAATGTGAATAACCCAATTCTGAAGTTAGTTATATAGATACTGAAATATGTTTCTAGAGACATTTCTAGTGTCCGCTTTCTTACATTCATGGACTTTTATTCTCTGTGTTTCCTATCACAGCTTAGGCAGAAGATAGCTTCAGCTACTTCAGCCATCAAATCCGTCTTCGGTCAAGAAGGAACCCCACAGGATGCTGTAAGCCGCCGATGTCACTGGGAATTGTTGTTGTATTTTGTTTTAATAGAAAGTATTTACTGTTCCATGTTTGTTTTGTTGTAGGCTGACAAGTTAGAGCGTTTAAGGGAAAGGATGCTAAAAGTACGAGAGCTTTTCCGTGATACGGATTCAACAGAATTTGTCATTGTAACAATCCCCACGGTAATGACCTCTAGATTATAGGGCACTGCTTGTTTTCCTTTCTAGTAAAGGCATGTTTGGTTGCAGTTGCAACTCTAGTGGAGGTAAAACCTATTATCTTGTTTCATGAAGAATCTAGAACTGCACAACTGACTTCTCACTTTAAACTATTCTGCTAAGGTGATGGCGGTTAGTGAGTCATCAAGGTTGCGTGCTTCCTTGAAGAAGGAAAATGTTCCTGTCAAGAGGCTTATTGTTAATCAGGTTCTTCCTCCATCTTCCTCGGATTGCAAGTTTTGCGCAATGAAAAGGAAGGTAAATAATCAATTTACAATCTTGTTGCATTATTTACTAGAAATGTGAGGAATTTGACTACCATATATTGATTAACTAAATCTACTTTTTGAATTCTGCCCATGGTTGATATTAATGCATGTTTGGGAATGTAATTGGATTTTCATGAGAATAATTGAATTAATGTTGCCCTAAACCCTTCATTCTTATTGACATTGGCTTTACATTGTGCGAATTTCTAAATTTTGACCAGTTCACTTGTTTCTAAATGGATGGAGCAGATTCCAATAATAAATTTTGGGCATATGTTCAAGCAAGCAACACAAGCGAGCACCTTGTCATATGACATATCTACTTTTCATTTTGTGGGATTAATTTGAAAGTTTCAATTATTTTTATTCAAATGTTACAGGATCAGACACGTGCTCTTGATATGATCCGGAGTGATCCAGAACTCTCTGGTTTGATTTTGGTTGAGGCACCCCTCGTTGATGTGGAGATTAGAGGTGTTCCAGCCCTTCGGTTCTTAGGGGACATGGTTTGGAAATGAAAATCTGCTCAATGATATCAGCATAGTTAGGTAACCTTTTCATTTACCACTTTAAACCGAGTTATTTTTCATGCTTGCAACATACGAATAGAAAGATTCAATTTCATGGTGGGTTTTAAAATTGACGATCCATACGCTACTTTCTTCTTCTTTTTTTTTTTGGGGATAAATAATCAAATTTTATTAGAAAAGCATCAAGGTGATGTAAAAAATACAAAAAAAAAAAATAAACAGCCCACATTGGCCTCACGGAACTAACTAAACAAAATCGCCAGAAAACTAACTAAACAAATACTCCACAAAATCTACAAAAACTAAAACATGAGGATCAATCGAATCTGTAACCCAACTATGGACGTAGACATATTGCCGAACCACGTATCCCTTGTGTTCTACGTGTTTGATTGTTTCTGTTTACTGTTTTTGACATCGAAACTCTTTGATTTCTGCACAACATGCAGGTTACATGTCAAACTCGGTTATCCTAACACTGTTCTCTGTACACAAGGGTGTTCATAATATGAAGCCCATGGAAGAGAAATATTGTGTAACTTACAAGGAAGCTACAGGTACAGAGAAAGTAATGGAACTTTGTTTTTTTTTTTTATTATTTATAAACATGTTCTTTTAACAAGTACACAATCAAGAGGGAAGAGGAAGAAGGGTTATGTAGAAAGGGAAAGAAAAAGAAGAAAAATCTAGCTGCTGAAATTGACTGTGCAGTGAATCCATCATTACTTGTAATGTTCATTCTGATATTGTTAGACCATACAGATAAAATGAAATTATGTGGGCTATGCCATTTTTTAGTTTGCTTAAATTCTACACAAATCAATATTTTCTTCCTTTGAGCAAACTATTATTTTGACTCTTCATTCCCCCCCCCCCCCCCCCCCCAATCTCTCTCCCTCTCTAAGTTTAAACCTTTCAACTAAAGGGTTTCTCAACCTCATTAATGGGTTAGCAGGATTGGTTCAGTTATGAAAAATAGAAAAAACAACAATCACAACAAGACTCTGTAACTGATTTTAATGACTATGCAAAATGAACAGAAGCAATGCTTGAATATATTTCAATATGTAAAATATTAATGCTGCCTGAAACTTTGGTGCAGACATTGATATTTGAATGGTTACAATTTCATCCAGACGGGCATTTTCAGGCACCCGTTCAATAAAAATGGTTTCCTTTCTTTATTGGCAGACTTCTATTCGATTTTCCAGTAAAACAAGGATGACCTTACACCAGAAACGTCACTGGGCATTAGGTTAACATGTCAATATACTAACTTAAACAAGAAGGTCCCATCCTTGCAGGCTGTTGCCTAATATAAAAAAAAAAAAAAAAACTAAAAGAGAGATAACAGAGAGAGAGGGAGAGGGAGTACCTCAATTATCAGATAGTCCCCTGATCAAATTCCGAATAACACAACAAAATTTGGTCAGTGCCATCTAACAATCCTGTGTAGCATATTCAGCCAGCAATGACCCGCTCTGCCTCTGATAATCATTGCCATTTTGTGGGGTGTTTACCATATGTTGAAAACTCCTCAAAATTTCATTTTTCTTTTGTGGTTCAGAGTACAATGACAAATGGTGGATTGAACTCACTTCTTTAGGAAGGCGACCATGCCAAAGAAAGCTATGAGACGGCAGAATATGCCTAACAGGATGAGAGAGGATATACAGTGATCCCAATCATGAATATTAAAGCCGAATTTCACAAGTGCACCACAACGAGTTATAAGCCACACTCCAGAATACCTGAAATGAAAAGATGATTAGTAAAATACATTTTGTGGGAGCTAAAAATTTGTATAGAAATGTACAGGTCCTAGCATGGACACGTGGCATAATTTTCAGTTCGGGCACTTTGTCCAGACATTTTGCTCGAATGCTCTCTTTGGCCACTCTGCTTAGATGCACTGTTGGACCATTCTGCTCAAATAAATTGTTAGGCACTCTGTTCAGACGTTCTCTTAGGCAGCACTCTGCTTGGCCGATCTATTAGGCTACTCAGTTAGGCCATTTTGGTAGGGACAATCTAGGACAATCCTAACAGCTTATTCAAATAATGCTTATCACCTCCACATGTGGGGGGCACAATCTCACGAAAAATGGAGCAATAAGTTGAATAAGTTACAACATATGGTCCCATGTGGAGCTGGAGCAAAAATTATCACATTGGTCCGGAATACCACGTGGCCCCATAATATTTTATAATTTCTCCACCGTTTCCATGCTCTATATAAAGACACTCTAAAAGGATAAGGTACGCAACACACCCTCAAATACAGTAATTTGATTACTATTATTATATTCATGCGGTGGTACTGATTTAAATCGGAGTACCCGTTTGGCATAGGCCAGCTGGAACACTAATGGTGTCCTATTTTTCATATTCATGGGGCCTTGGTCATCTCTTCGTTGAACTCTTCATCAATAGTGAGTTTGATTTCCCCTCACATATTTAAACACTCGCATATAAATTTCCTAGACATCCTAGGGCTGTATGTGTATCGTTGGATAAAAAATGTTAATCCTAATCATGTCAGTTACATGTAATTGGATCTGGATATTCCAGCAGCACAGAATGACCTTTAAACTTATTAAGGGAGCTGAAGAAAGCTTCAGCAGTCCTATATTCATGTATATTATAAGATGAATTCTCCAAAGCCACTTCATCATGGACGTTTTAAAATCATGTACACAAACAAATTCTAATTGTCATGCAATGCTCAAAGAAAATTCAATCAAGAACATTCTAATTGGGTTAAATTGGATAAAGGTTGAACAAATCGATGCGACCAGCCCATTTACTTTGTTGAAGTCTCTGGTGGTGGTGGGGTGGTGGAGTAGGTGGCAGCGGTTGTGGACGTGGTGATGGTGCAGTGGTGGAGGTGACAGTGGTAGTGGGGGAGGAGGAAGTGGAGGTGTTGGTAGTAAGAGACCATTTTTTTTTTTGGTGCGTGAAGGTACAAATTGTTACTTAATATGAGAATAGCATATGCTGAACAAGGTGTAGCATCTGGCCATGATAAAGGGAAGTTGTGTCATACCTTTCTGCATTTGCAATCACAAATGCTTCCAAAGCCCATCTTGGATAGCTCAAGTTTGCTAGTTTCGTCACAAATTTACTCTCTCCAGTCTGAATTGAAATCAGAGCTAAAACTACTGGAATCAGCACCGCACACTGTAGAAAGTGGAAGTATATTGTCAGCAAAAAATAAAAACTAATTTATGGAAACTCATATTGAAAAGCTGATGAGCTTTCAATGTGAAATGTTATTGCTCACCAGTTGGGCAGGACCAGGTCCAAGGAAGATGGACAGTGCATAACCTATGCCAGTAACACAGTACACGAGGCACAACAATACAATGTAATTATCAGCAAAAGAAGATCTGGGGTTGCTGATGGAATAGAACATTGAGAGATACACCACAGGCTTTATCACTGTATTAAAATGATCTATTGTTTCCTTGGAAAGAAAATGAGCCAGGCTGCTAATGCCAGAAGCACTCTCCCTCCAATATTGTAACTTGTCCAGAGAAAATGTTCGCAAAGCCGCAATTTTGCATAAAAGAGCTGAAATCAACAGTATGAGGCACAATAAGGAGGACAATCTTGTGCAAGTAGATGGTACTCACAGTTTGTTTCAGTGGAGAATGTTTTAAACATTTTTTTTGTTTTTCCTAGTATTTGGTATAATAGAAAACGGAAGTCAACAAAAACTGATTTTTGTGGTTAGTGGAAAACAAGTTTATTTGGGCAGAAAATGTTTTTCATTCCAAACTAAAGTCTTACCAATGATGCTACACTACCAACTCAATCACTGCCGCCGCTGCTGCTACCACCACCACTACCACAATTCCACCCCCACCCCCCTCCCCCCAACCACCACTATCACCACCTCTCATATAACTACTAGCACATTAGTTTTAAGATCACAATCAAACATAGAAAAACATTTTCAACAGCAAACATTTTCTGGTGGAGGTGGAGGTGATCCATTGGAAAATGTTTTCGGAAAAACAAATAGAGGGTATTAACAATGAGACTAATCAATATTTTCAACTCAAAATTCATTATCATTAGTTAGCCTAGCTATGTTCATTTTTTGCTACAATAGGAATGTTATGCATTCATCATCCGAAAAGTATTATAGAACAATTTAACTACAGAGGCAGAAAGAATCAATCAAAGTTTCTCTGATACTTCTGAACCTTTTTTCATCCACGTATATAATCAAAGCAAGTTGTTTTAGAAACTTTTCTGATGCAGTTTGTATAGGTATAACCAAGAGTGCAAATTTTGCAACTTACAGACGGCAATGATGGTATGAATATAACCAAATACCCCAAAATCTTCATCACCGGTTTTTGTAAGTGATCCTACGCAGGCACCAGCAAGTAACAAGATGAGAAGATCAACTGCTATTAGTCTAGCTTCTCGTAGTCGCTGCTTGCCAACCCTGAAGATATTGTGGGCATAAAGAACGTCAAGAAACAGGAAAAATGAATCATAAAACAATCAATCCGTAGAACACATAGACTCCCACACTAGACAGCCCACTCCCCATTCCCCACCTATATCTCCATAGATAATACACACCATTGAAATTTACTTTACAAAATCATATTGTCAAATCCCAACCATTTTCTGGAATATGTTGGTTCTATAGAATGACTGACAGGCATAACATTTTTTCAAGTATACTCTTCAGGCACATTTGTTTATAGGATAAAAATGGTGAGATTGGAGGTGGGGGAATATGTGGTACCACACCTATTTTAGTCCTGCGTTTGTTTTGCATGGTATTAAAACTACAGATAATTTTAATAATGATATTGAGGATTAAAAATGGGGGATTAAATAATGCCATAGGTATTGTGATATTAAGGGGATTAGGCTTCTCTAGATTAATTTTCTGCTTCATCCAACTGTAAAAAATAATTGCATCTTTTTATTTCATCCTAATCAAATATAATACCTCACTCTCTCTATCCAATCAATTTATCTCATCTATTAATCCCATGTTATTATTTATCCTTCATAATTCTATCCATAATCCTATCATATATCCAAATCACATGGTATAACTTATCCTTCATAATCCTCAATAATCCCATCCCATCAAATCTAATCCCATAAAAAATAATCCGACAATCAAACGTGGCCAGAAATTGCATGAGAAATTTTTTTATATCATTTGACCCAACCTAGAAATTCAATCTGAGAAACATAAGTATAATATGTACTGTTTGAAGGAACCCACAAAAAGAGAAGTTGAAAAGAAATATAAAAATAGAAGAGATTCTTAAATATATACCTCCCAAGAAAGTATTTATATTGCATCAGAACACCTGGAGTTCTCCGATTGGACAAGTCCCTAGACCTCAAGATATTGTGCTGTATGATATCCCAGTGAAGCTCCAGAGTACATATCATATCCTTCCATATTTCTCCAGCAAGAGATTGTTCCTTATTTTCAGCATCAACAGAGCTTTTTTGATTGTCTAGATTTACTCCTGTGGATGACATAACAAGTCCAGCACAATCCTGCTGCATATCTGGGGGTACTGGATAACCCTTATGAAGCATCCATCTCATCGGAAGCTCTCTGTAATTTATGCTCAAACTTGTGATCGGCTTAACTATTTCCTCCAGAACGTCAATAAAATGGTCTGTAGGATTCATATGCTCTGGTACATTGATCCCAAGGCCTGCAAAATACTCTTCAACTTTGCTTACCGGTCCATGATACACAGTAAGGCCGCCTTTTAGAAGTATTAAATCATCAAACATCTTGAACAAGGTGTAGCTGAAACAAGAATTTACCAGTACCAAGTAAGATAAAAGAAGTAATTCCTCAAGTAGCTACAGTGACACAATACCCTAAATTTTCTAACGAGTAAATTGAACTTTCCTAGTTAGGATTGTGGCACCTGTAAACCATCTTGGTTGTTCAAGAGTCCACCATTTCAGCAATTTAAGTATTCTAGTAGATCTTCTTGTGGTTATAAAATCCACTTTAGTCCATGACATACCAATCTTGTTGCTATAAATAAAAAGATAATTTAGATGGCTTTCTTATTCCAAAAGAGTTAATTACACTAATGGTCCCCAAAGTATACGTTCTGTTACACTCTAGTCCCCAAACTTTTAATTATTTCGCTTTGGCCCCTAAGTTTGCAATCTATTACACTTTAATTCTTTATGTAAGAGCCGTTCAAAATCAGTAATGGGAGGAGGGGTATTTTTGAAATCTTACAAGAAACCTCAACAAAGTAATAATGGCCAAACACACACATGGTCTAAAAGTATGCATTTTGTAGCATTTTCGTTTATAAAATATGTATTTGGTTTTATTTAGTCTGTAAAGTATACATTTTTTTTTTTTTTTTTTTGCATTTTTCGTCCCTAGTATTTTAAGTTAGATATATTTTACCGTTATTGATTTTGAACTATACTGACCTAGGGAAAACTTTAGGGACCAAAGTAAAACAATTAAAAGATTGGAGACTAAAGTGTAACATAACACATACTTTAGAGACCATTTATGTAATTAACCGAGAAAAAAAATGCTAGGAGGATGAACTTTGGTTGTCCTCATAAGTCCTATGAGCTTACCAAATTAAACAAAGTTTTGTTTCTCACTGAAGTGGGGTCGGTCACATGAATCATTTTTCACCACTTTGCTCTGTCAAGGGCTATATGCTCAATTAAGCATAATCATATTAGGATTTATATTCATTAGGGATCTGATTGGAATTTTTACGTGTTGGCTGCCAAGCTACTTAGCACCCTCCTTATCTGGGCTTGGGATCAGCTGTGTAAAAGATTAAACACGAAGCATGACACACAAGGAGTTTCCTATGAGCTTAATGCATGAAATAATTTCTTGAAGCCCGCAAGGTAATCCTTGTAATGACAAAGCTTTCAAATTGAACAATTAAAATGGTCCCAGTCTCCCAAGTTATGTGAGTAGATAACCAAATATAAACAGAAAGAGAATGAGATAACAGAATTCCATAATACGTATTGGGAAAGAAATTGTCACCTAGGTTGGTGGACAACCATGCAGATGTTGACCCCTTCAAGAGCTTCACGTCGAAGTGCTCTCAGAAGTAGCTGGGAAGTAGAACTATCCAAACCAGAAGTAGGTTCATCTAAGATCAAAAGTGATGGTTCCATTACCAACTCCAGGCCAACATTTACTCGCTTCCTTTCGCCTCCTGATATTCGTCGCTTCTCTACTGTTCCAACCAAGGAATCACGCACTGCTTGCAACCCCAACGACTCGATAACTCTTTCAACAATTAGAACCTTATCTGGCTTCGACAAGTCTGCAGATAGTCTTCAATGATTGGGAAAAAACAAGAGCAGTAAATAGAAAAGTATAGATGGTAGTGATTGCATTATGTATAACAAAATATATCTGAACAAGAACACAGGCAAACAAAAGGATAACAAGCAAGAACATTTTTATTAGCTAAATACTTTGTGAGTCCATATGAAACCCACAAGGGATGTTACAAATAAAATTAAAATTTCCAGATTTCTCACCAATTCAAAAGTCCAGATGGTGATTAGTTTGAATAGGCAAAAATTTTTGTACTCACAAATGTGAAGTAGAAATTAATCAGTGGCCAAGTATTGAAAATGACTTAAAAAGGATAAAAAAAAAAGGTGTCAATGTCCAAGAAACATCACTTTCCAACTTAAAATGAATCGATTTTGAACATTTCATAATAAATTACAGTTAGAAATTAGAATCTGTAAGAGAACTCAATCTGACATACCTGCACCTAGCACTGAACCAGAGATTCTCCTCCACTGTCAAATTTCCATGCACAATATCATCCTGTGGCACAAATCCAATGATTTTTCTGTATGAATGGATTGATTCAGGTTTTCCGTTGATAAGAATTAAACCAGTCATCTTGCATCCAACTGTTTTTCCCGCCAGAGCAGAAATGAGTGTTGTTTTCCCAGCTCCAGATGTGCCCATTACAGCAGTAATGTGGCCAGGCATTATTTTCCCAGTAACACACCTTAAAAGATGTTTGTTTTTTCTTTTCAAAGTAAGAGAAAGGTCTCTGAAGGAAACCTCAATCATGGGCCTTTTCCTGATTTCCTGACTAGTAGCCATTGAAATTAATCCTGAGAAGGTAAGGTTCTTATTCTGCTGCAGGTGCAGCAAAGCTTTCTCTTTCTCTAGTTGAGCATATGCATACTGGAAAATCTCACTGTGAGTACGAATTTGTTTTTCATTTTTCATTTTCCTGTCTGTATTTTTATCTCCAAGCTCTAAACTGAAAGCATTGCAACTATCAGGGTCATCTTCAACTGCATGGGAAGATTGCTCAGGCGAGTTCAAAGCAGTTATATACAAAGATGAATCTAGATCATCATCTGTCTTAGCTTTAGTTTGACTCAAGCTCTCAAGTGCCTGAGGATGTATCACAGTTTTTTTACAAGAAGCCAGAGATAATTGACTTGGTGATGCAATTTTGGGCTTCTTAGCAGCATTTTTAGCAGATTTGTACTTATCGCGTGCCTGTGCTTTCTCCCTCGCACTTCTAGCTGCTGCTTTCCTGGCTTTGGCATTTCTCATTTCCCGAATGGTGAGAACTTGGTCGTAACAGTTGTAAATAGTAAGCAGGAGAGTACTTAAAGCAGCCTGCATTACAAGTAATGGGCGTTAATATCTAAAATTAGCTTTGATAGATGAAAGAGATATACACATGGTAGGCAGGAATGTATTTACAGAAGATAACAAGACGCATCTTAGATAGACTTTCAGGAAAGGTTCTTCGATAAAATAGATGGTATTAAGACTTACTGCTAAATCCTATGGCTATTACCTCAAACTAACAAACCATATAATTATGAAAAGCAATAAAACCAAGGTTGTTAAAATCGGGATCTTATGTTAGATCGTTGGAAGTGTTTATAGGATCGGATCGTAAAATTGGATCAAGGATGGTAAGATTCTACGGAAAAAGACAAATTACTTAATAATTTAATTTAAATAAATATTTCTTAAAAAGTATACACAAAATGAGCCTATATTCTATTAAAAAGAAGTGAAGATATTGTGTAAAATATAATAATCTATGTAAAATGTACATATAATATTATATAATAGAAATTCGATGGTAAAATTTTTGTATTTCATCAAAAAAGAAGGTAAAGAAGAACAATTATATAACAAAATATTTTACAATCTACAATAATACATAAAAAGTAAAGAAAAATATTTAACAAAGTTGGATATTAAAATAGATTAAGAACTCAAAAGAGTTGCTTAATGGAATGATAAGATTTGTCGTTAGCATTCCTGGTGGAGCGGATTCAAGTCACAAAAATAATCTCTTCGAAAATTAGGATAAAGTTGCAATCATCTTACACTGCTTAGACTTTGCTAAAGCTGAGTTTGTTTTTCCGACCAGTTAATTTTCTAAAATTACCACAATATTTGAATGTTTGTTTCCTAATTTGTTTTTTCTTAGTCTATTTAATTTAATACTACTTAATTTTTATTATTTGGTATTTAGACAATAAAAATAAAATTTACAATAAAATATGTTAAACAATACAAAACAAGACTTGTAAATTGGATCGGATTCGGATCAGGATTCCACGATTCTATAGGATCCCATTACTAGGATCGAAAGATCCTACCTATAAGGAATTTTTTATATAATCCGGATCGATTGTACTCAAATGGATAGTAAGATCTGGATCGGGATTCTGATAACCATGAATAAAACTAGTGAAAAATGAAAGGGTAAACTACCAATAGGTACTAATAGTTACATTTAATTCCCATCAAGTCTTATTAAAAATAAGTCATAGTAAAATCATCGTTAAAAAAAAAAATTTGTGATGATTTTTTGCATACGTCGCTAAAAAATGACAATTAGTGAGTTTTTTGTCACGATTTTTATAAATTGTCGCTAAAACTTACAATTAGTGACATTTTTCTATGTTGAATTTGTTAAATTGTTGCTGAAAATTGAAATTTAATGAGGTTTTTTTGTGATGATTTTTTTAAACTGATTTTTGTGACAATTTTTAAACTGTCACTAAAAATTAATAATTAGTGACTTTTTTAATAGTATTTGATGAAAAACGTCATTATTTATCACAGGACCTATTAGATAATAAGTTTACCTATTAAGACCTACACATAAATCTCCCATTACTTTGCTACTACGGAAATTTTCTATAAAAACAATTGCAAGCCAAAATATATGTATTTTTTGTCCTCTTTAAGAAACCGAAATTATTTGTGATGTGTACCTAGTGTTGGACACAGACAACATATCAAGTTAATGGTTGGAGTGTATAGAACAACTTACTATTAGTATAATGCCATATGCATGAATATCCTGATTCGCAGTATTGGGATCACATGAAGACAATTTGAAGCACCCTACAAGTTTATCATTAAGAGTCAGACAGCTTGGAACCAGCAGTAGAGGGTTGATAAAAAATCTAGGCCGTAGGGAAATGATTGTATGGATTATACAATATGTCTAGCAATAACTCGTACTTCAGCAAGGAACTTACGTTTCTCAGAAATAGAACCCTTCCTGCAGTAATGCCTACATTGCAAAAGAATAGAAAATTCAAAATTGACAAAGGGTGGCAAGCAACAATTATATAAATGTCAACCAGTCAAATAAACAAAGAGGGAGAGACACCGCGTTTCACTCTATCAACATCTAATAATTTTGATGTCCTTGAATCATGTGATATGGGAGAGTTGGGGAATGGAGAATTAAATCAAGAGTTGTTGTGTCAAACGAAGAGCCTAAAAAGTAGAGGGAGTCCATCTCCAAGTGATCCTATTAATGGGGAGACTACAAAGGAAGATAACAGAAGAAAACTCAAAGCGAAACTTCAATACTTGAAGAGTGCTAGAGGGAAATTTTGAATCATTTGTTGTGTATGTTGTGTTTGTCGTCTATAGGCTTAGTTTGTTTCTTTTGAGGGAGTAGTTTGTTTTTGTTTATGTTTATTCTCCCTACAAAAGGTGTGTATTGAACTTCATTGTACATCTTTCTTTTTTGGTTATAATATGACTTGCTTATCCAAAAAAACAAGTCAAATATGTTTGGCACAAATCATATCCTAATATATCTACATTGTTTGGTCTAAACATGGTATAATAATGACCCATGAAGCACATACGCCTTTCTAGAGGTCACGTAGTAGTGTCCGAAACATGTTGGACACGGACATGCGGAGGACGAGTTGGACACGCTTGAGGAAATGTCGCATTTTTTTTTCAATTGGACACACTAGTAACATAGTGGGAACACGTGGTATCCCATTTTCTAATTTATTTTTTGGGGAAATTACCCATAGGTCCCATGTAGAACATGTGGACACCATTTAATCCCATAACTTTTTGGGTACACCCAAAAGTCCTTTCCTCCATCTCTCTGGTTTTTTCCTCCCTTTTTACGTTTTCTTCTTTCTCTTTTTTTCTACATTTTACACCATGGCTTCTACTAACCATTTCCAAAGCATTTTCTTGGCCTTTGTCTTTGTCTTGGGAGTTTTGTCCTCTCAAGCTTCCTCTCGAATTCTCAACGAACAAACCATGCTAGAAATGCACGAGAAATGGATGACACGCCATGGACGTGTTTACAAGGATACCGAAGAGAAGAATGCACGGTTTCAGGTATTCAAGGACAATGTCCAATATATAAATGCCTTTAATGAAGGTGTAGACCGAGGATACAAGCTTGGTGTGAATCAATTTGTAGACCTGACCAATGAGGAGTTTCGTGCTTCTCATACTGGTTACAGCAGGCAGCCAACCAATGAGACATTTGTCTCAAAACCAACATCTTTTAGGTATGCAAATCTAACTGATGTGCCAACAACCGTCAACTGGCAAAAGGAAGGTGCAGTTACTCCTGTCAAGGACCAAGGCCAATGTGGTAAGCGTTACATGATATATTTCTACATCTCTATTTATATCAATCAATAATTTAAAACAGTGGTATATATCGATTATGAGTATCAGAAGTATCGACTGGTATACATAAAGAATTGAGTCATGAATATTTAAAATCATTAGCTACAAAAAAATAAAAATAAATGAAGAGAGCTTTGTAGCAGTCAAGCACCTATATCGACTATAATCGAGTCATGAATTTGCTCTAAATCAATACATACCATGAACTAGTTGATATCCATACTATTTTCATTCCTATGGTATATCATAGTGTGTCGTTATTGAAAGGACAAAACAATCAATAAATAATGGTCGGTAATTAAAACCATTATATCAATAATTAATAGTAACCCAAGCATATTATT